AAAAAAAAAAAAACGCATAAGAACTCGTCTAAGGCAGGTAGTATCAGCTCAAGAAAAACATCCACAATCGAGTTTTCCGTTCCGAGGAGGTTCTTCTTACCGAGGTACCCAATGAAGAGTGCGAGATCGTTCGAAATGCATCGATCTGCCCTACGCCTATTAGGTAGCCCTAGTATAATTAAATCAGCTCCATCAATCTACATAAACGTATCGTTTAACATAAATGGCACTAAATCGAATCGTAGGTGCGAGACCACCGCCTCTCATTCGTCGCTCGTCATTCCCAACGCAACAACCGTCTAAGCAAAGTTCTGGCTCGATCAGTGGTACACCGAATAATCGAATATCAAGACGTCAATCGGCTGAATCCAATGAAGAAATCCGAGCCCTCATTAGCGCGCTTCATCACCGCACACGCCTGATCCGACGGCATTGAAGGTACAATGAATATCATAATGAATGAATCGAGAATCAAGGCAGTTGACGTTGTAAAATGTCAGAGTCGCTATTGTTTCTCAATTGGTATTACTTACTGATTCGATCCATCTATCCATCGATACGATAATAACGAATTAACCAAAGAGATTGAACCCTTCACTTTCGCAAACTCAACTTAACTCCTTGGAAATTAACAATTTGTGATACGATAATTTCACTTGGATGATCACTGGATGATAAGAAACGTCTTTCCAAGAATTTTCCAACTTGATAATCAGACGTTGAAAATATCGAAAATAATAATTTGAATAAATTAATTTATTGATTTATCGATTTAGCGACTTTACCACTGTATTAAAAACACATTGAAATCATTGTCAATTGTTCTTCATTGTCAAATTAGTCAAGCAAGTGCTACAAATGCTACAAGTGCGGTCCCTTAGAAAACAAGTGACTTACCTCGTTGGATATTCTAATTATTTTTTTTCATATCAATTTTAAATAAAACCTGCTAAACTACACCATGTTCATTCTAATCCCATATTTTACTTTCCTTTCAGTTAGGTTGATCATCATTTTGTAAAAGTTCATTCAACGTTAAAAAACTAACAGGGTACGTGTCTTAGACTGAATGGTATGTTTTCAAGAGGCTACATTTTTTAAAGAGGCTAAAACGATTCTTTTTTAAAGAATAACACGATTTGATATTGTTCCGTTAGGTTTTACATATCGCACAGCAATTATGATTACGAACTTTTCCAAAAATTCTTAGCACTTTGTAACCTAAACCTACCAAGTCAAAGAGGACTTACTTTAACGAAATTGTTGCTTGTACATTCCAAATCCGAGAAAGAACGTTGATAGAAATTTTCCATTACTATCGACATCGACTGTAATTGTTCAATTGTTCTCCTTCTCTACGAGATAATTCTTACATATTTGTCTCAGTTTCGATAGCTTTACATTCCACGATAATTATTAGAAAAAAAA